GACCACGGTGCTGGTCAACCTGCTCATCATCCTGCTCATCAGGCTGGACTCTCGCCTGCACACGCCCATGTACTTCTTCCTCAGCCACTTGGCCTTCTCTGACATCTCTCTCTCCTCTGTCACTGTCCCTAAGATGCTCATGAACATGCAGACTCAGCAACAATCCATCCCCTATGTGGGATGCATTTCTCAGTTGTATTTCTTCATACTTTTTGCTGGTGTTGACAATTTCCTTCTGGCTGTGATGGCATATGACAGGTACGTGGCCGTCTGTCACCCTCTGCACTATGCCACCATCATGAGGAATGGGCTATGTATGTTGCTGGTGGCTGGGTCTTATATGGTTACCTGTGTCCATGCAGTTTTTCATACCCTCCTCTTGGTCCGCCTGTCCTTCGGTGCCCACAATACCATCACCCACTTCTTCTGTGAGCTCACTGTGCTGCTGAAGCTGAGCTGCTCTGACATCTCACTCAATGAGCTGGTCCTATTCACTGAGGGAGGAATGCTTTTCTTCCTGCTTTTGTGTGTTATTTTAGGCTCATACATCCGTATAGGGACCATCATCCTGAGGGTGCCCTCCATTAAGAGACTCTTTAAAGCCTTTTCCACCTGTGGCTCCCATCTCTCTGTAGTGTTTTTATACTATGGGACAACTACAGGTGTTTACTTTTTCTCCTCATCATGGGTTTCCAAAGACATAATTGCTTCGGTCATGTATACGGTAGTTACCCCCATGCTGAACCCCTTCATCTATAGCCTGAGGAACAGAGATATCAAACAGGCCTTACAGATGTGTGTCAATAGGGTTAAGTTCTTTAAGATGCAATCACTAAATCCTCTTGTTCCAGTCAGGAGCACAGTGAGGTAGACCTCCTAAAATTATTATATGGTTGACATATCCATTAAATTTTAATAAAATATTCATTCTGTTGTCACTTATAAGTATTGTCATATGTACACTAAGTCACATTTGAAACTAGGATGGTTAATTACTCTTTATTCCTAATTGACATTTTTTGCTTGTTCATCTTATAAGATCTGTGCAAAAATCTTATGCAAAACATGTTGTATAATTATAATTGTGCATTTGTCCCTTTCTGTTTTACGATATGTCAGTTTTTGCTTACATGTATTTTATGTTATGGTATAGCAGACTCACTTTTTTAGCATCATGATCTGCTTTTGTTCAGCTTACTTTCAATTTTTTCTTCTTTAAAAAATAATTTTTTATGCTGGCTTTCATTGGCTTTGAGTTATTGTGCACATCTCTTCTCAACTCACAATCAATAACATCTGACTATAGTCAGCCATGATAAGAATAATTTCACTATGAATATAGGGTTGTGCTACAAAGCAAGGTGAGAGAGAGAGAGAGAGAGAGAGAGAGAAACATTTTTAAAATGCATTTAAGAGGTCACTACTTCATTTATAATTAGGATCACATTCTAGTAATGGGTCCTACCTTAACACCTCATCTACTTCTGATAGATATACTTTACATCTATGAATATAGATACTTACACAGATACAGAGAGAGTTCTAGATATGTACTAGATCTTATAGGCAGTAAAGATGCAGCTTTCTTATGGTTAGTGTTTACATGGTATTTCTTTCCGTCACTTTGAACTTTTACTACTATAGCATAGAATAGTAAAGTATAGTATAGTATTGTATGGTATGGTATGGTATTGTTAAGGTATGGTATGGTATGGCATGGCATAGTATAGTATAGTGTAGTATAGTATAGTGTGGTGTAGTGTTGTGTGGTGTGCTATGGCATGGTACAGTGTAGTATAGTGTATTGTAGCATAGCATAGCACAGCATAACGTAGTGTAAGGTAGCATAGTAAGTATGGTATAGTATAGTCAGGATGCAGCTTTCTCCTTGTTGGTGTTTAAATGGTATTTCTTTTCCATCACTTTAAACATTTCTTTGTCCTTATATCTGTGAGGTGTGCATTGTTAAAAAGGTAATGCTGTATTTTGCTCATTTTATGTAAAGCAACAATTATTATATTTCTGGAGAATTTTGTCTATGGGCATCTAATGTAATCATAACGCATTTGAACTTATACTTCCCATATTACTCTTTTTTATTTAATATATCTATTTCACATATATTCTCTCTTGTCTTCCTCCATTTTAATTAAATACGTATTTTTAATTCCATTTTCCCTCTATTAACTTGTGAATCATACATTATTATTATTGCTTTATTAATTCCTTTTTCTGCTTTATGCAGAGGTCACTTCTTTTTTAGCCATTTGAGGCATATAAAACAGTGGCATTTAGGACATTTAGCAGCAATATCTCATTTTATGACCACTAAAGAAAATTCTATAAAATATCAACTGAGTAATTTTTCACTGTGAGGAAAATAAGAACAAAGATATCTATAAATCATTGTGGAGAAATATTAGAATATACTGCAAAATGAAAAAAGCAATGTGTAAAAGAATATTTATAGCATGCTACTTCTTATGTAAAATTGAAGGGGAATAAAATATACATGTGTCTGCCCATTTGAGCAGAAAGAAGCACAGGAAGAATAAATCGAAACAATTGAGATTATTTACCTTTAGGAGTTGGGGCAGAAGAGATAGGGAGATGAGTAGAATTATTTGTGTAGTTTTGACTATATTGTCTTTTGTAAGTAAAACATAAATAGTAAAGGTGGTTAATAAAGCAAAATAGAATAAAACAAATGAAATGAACCTAACTATATTTTAAATTAACCCCAAACTTAGACTTAAGAGGGAAAATTAAATAAGTACCCTAATTACTAAACCCAGAATTTATCTATATCTCTCAATTAAAAATAAAACACCGAAACAATGTTTTTAATCTTTACTTTGTGTCATTAACAGTGATATGTGTTCCAGATTCTGAAACAACTCACCATGTAGCCAAAGATTCAGTAAATAAGTAAACATTGAGGAGAATATAGTGACTCTCACTCTTGGGGAAAGGAGCTCTGTACATGGAAAAGGAGAAACTGGAAAGGACTCTATGGTGTCAACTAGAATTGGAGATATCAACTCGAAATCATGGGTTTTAAAATGTATAAGTATATTGCAATTTATATGTTATATATCAACATCTATACTGTTCCCATCCCCATTCTTTCTGACCCGCTCCTGGCCTACCTCCTATGGATGAACATACCTTATTTTCTTAGTTTCTAGTTTTTCCTTCCTGTGTTTCTTTTATATATATTTCCCAGTTGGCTTCTCTGAGACCGTTTAGAATCCTTGAAAGCAATGAACTCACCCAAAGCTTCAAAATGAAAAACAACAGTAATGGATTGTAACTCAGAGAATAAGAATCCATGAATACATAATAACATAAATGAATAAATAAAAAAACTAACAAATGCAGGATAAGAATAAGTTCCTTCTTTTAGGATAATACAAATAATAAATAAGAGATGACCAAAATAGAAAAAAATCACCATTTAGCTTTCACATTTGCAATAACTTTCTCATATAATAATCACCAATGATGGCTTCACAGGGGAGTTTTACCAAACATTCAAAGAACTAACACTATCCTCCTTAAAGTATTCCAAAAAATCCAAGAAGAAGGAATACTTCCAATGTGTTTTTATGTGGCCAGCATTATCCTAATTCCAAAACCATTCCAAAGAAAGAAAATTACAGGCCAATATCCCTGATGAACATAAATGCTAAAATCCTCAATAAAATATTAGCAAATTGGATCCAGCAATATATTAAAAGGATCATATACCATGACCAAGTGGGATTTATTCCAGGGATGCAAGGCTGGTACAATATTTGCAAATCAATAAACCTAATATAGCACATAAACAAACTGAAAGACAAAAATCACATGATCATATCAATAGATGCAGAAAGATCATTCTACAAAATGCAATATCCATTTTTTATAAAAACTCTCAGCATGGTGAAGGCCTGGGGTGGGGGTTGGGGATAGGCTAGAAGAGGTCAATAGGGGGAAAGATGTAATGCTTTCAACAATAAAGATTTAAAAAATAAACTCTCAGCAAAGTGGGAATAGAAGGATCATAGTTCAACATAATAAAGGTCATATATGACAAACCTATAGCCAACATTATACTCAATGGGCAAAAACTAAAACCATTTTCCCTAAGAACAGGAACAAGACAGGGATGTACGCTTTCACCACTCTCATTCAACATAGTACTGGAAGTCTTAGCCATATCAATCAGACAAGAATATATATATATATATATACAAGCCTAAGCGACTGTCTGACCATTCTTTTATCCAACCGGTTGCTATGACGCACACTGATCACCAGAGGGAAGATGCCCAATTCTGGGGTGCGTCACCTGAAAACTGCCCTCTCGCAATCCAGGACTCCTTGGGGGATGTCAGAGATCCGGTTTAATCCTGATCCCTGCAGGCCAGGCCGAGGGACCCCACTGGTGCACAAATCCGTGCACCAGGTCTCTAGTAAAAAATATAAGGCATCCAAATTAGAAAGGAGTAACTAAGAAAAGGACGCAAGAGCATACAATAGAGTAAAGACAGTCTCTTCAATAAATGGTGTTAGAAAAATTGGGCAGATACAAGCAAAATAAATGAAACTAGACCACCAACTTACAACAACACAAGAATAAACTCAAAATGGATAAAAGACTTAAATATAATTCGTGAAACCATAAAAATCCTAAAAGAAACCATAGGCAGAAAAATATCAGACATCTCTCCTAGCATTATGTTTGTGGAGACATCTCCTAGGGCAAGGACAACAAAAGAGGAGGGTGAGGATGTAGAGAAAAGGGAACCCTAGTACACTGCTAGTGGGAATGCAGAATGGTGCAGCCATTATGGAAAACATTATGGAGTTTCATCAAACAATTAAATATGGAACTGCTATTTGACCCAGTAACCCTACTCCTAGGAAACCCAAAACACCAATCAGAAAGAAAATATGCACCCGTATGTTCATAGGAGCTCCATTTACAATAGCTAAGATCTGGAAACAACCTGAGTGCCCATCCATAGATGAGTGGATAAAAAAGCTGTGATACATTTACACAATGGAATACTGTGCAGCTATTAAAACAACGGAACCCTTACCATTTGTAACAGCATGGATGGGCCTGGAGAGTATGCTAAGATAATTAAGCCAGTCAGAGAAAGATAAGTATCACATGATCTCACTCATATGTGGAATGTAATGAACAAAACAAACTGATGAACAAAAATAGATCCAGAGACATAGAAGCATCAAACAGACTGTCCAACCTCAGAAGGAAGGCAGGGGAGGATAAGAGATCGACCAAAGGAATTGTATGCATGTACAAGTATATAAGCATGCCCAATGGACACAGACAGTAGGGGAGTGAGGGCATGTGCTGGGGAGTGGAAGTGGCTGGGGAGAGGTCAATGGGGAAAAAAGGAGACAGATGTAATACTTTCAACAATAAAGAATTTAAATTTAAAAAGAATGCATTTAACAGCATACAACTAGTAATGGGTCCTACCTTAACACCTTGTCTACTTCTGATATTAGTATAGATATAGCTAAATCTACAGATATAGATACATATAAAGATATAGATATATAAGTACAGATAAAGATACAGATAGAGATATAAATACTAGTACAGCATTGGTAGTAAAGATGCCCCATATTCATGGTTAGTGTTTACATGGTATTATTTCCATCCCTTTAAACTTTGCTACATCTTTATATCTGTGATGTATCCATTGCTAACAGTGTAAAGTTGGATTTGCTCTTTTTATGTAAAGAAACAATTATTATATTCGTGGAGAATTTAATCTATTGATATCCTATATAACAAAACCCTAATATGCGTGTGGAGCAGCAGCAGCGAGAGTGGGGCTGCCGCCACAG